CTCCGTGGTGTGGATCTTGCGACAGAGCTGCTCTAAATCTGCCAATAGAACAGAAAGGGAGCTCTCTCAATCCGTCAATGAAACAGACTTGCTCCGCATTGAGCAGAAGAAAGTATTACCGGAAGTGCTCCGAATATGCCAATGAATGGCATCATATAATAAAGGCTCCGTCACGGTGGTCTAGTGGCTAAAGTACTCGGCTGCGGACCCGCAGGTCGTGGGATCAAATCCCGGCTGTTGCGGCTGCATTTCCGATGGAGGCAGAAATGGTGTAGGCCCGTGTACTCGGATTTGGGTGCACGTTAAAGAACCCCAGGTGTTCGAAATTTCCGGAGCCCTCCACTACGGCGTCTCTCATAATCATGTGGTGGTTTTGGGACGTTAAATCCCACAAATCAATCATCATATATTAAATGTTATTCCTTTCTCATTTTTTCTCTCGTTTGTAGAGAGTTTCAAGGTTGCAAGCGTAGTGCCCCCCTAAAAATTCCGGTCACCTCATTTACCAGCTAGTAAAGTCGAAACTGATAAGACGTTTTCACATTTTTTCAAGGGTAAGGAAAATCTCTTATTAGTTTTTCAGACAGAAAGAACGTGCGTAATCATCAAGGCGATCTCTTGTAGTTTTGGGCCGTTAAACCCCACAAACCAATCATCAAATCAATATCTTGTAGTTTTTATGTAGCCCAAAAGAATATTTATTTGAATATATTTTGCCAAATGATGAAGGCAAAGAGCAAAAATCAGCGGGCTATTTTTTAACACTCTTCTTGCCCAGCTATGCTATTCAGGCACATCGGTGGACGAAACCGAAAGTCATCAAGGGTCTGTGTTTGTAAACAGTGAAAGGGTCTATAACACGTGAACTCTGACGTGCGAGTGCTACTACCAGCTACGTTAAGTCAGTGATTATGGTTACTCCGAAATTCCGAGCTATTTAACCACTTCATCTGTGAAATTAAACAGTTTGAAGTGGCATTTCGAATAAAAGATGCGTAGCAGTATAGAGTTATTTGTAAATTCTGACAGGCTGAAGTCACTTCGCTGCCTTGGGAGAATTATAATAAAATGTTTGTCTGGGCATAAACTCGAGGTGGTAGTTCTTTTCTAAACAATTTAAAGAATGCAAAACAAAACGACTTTTGAGCACTTTTCGCCGCTTCGTTCGTAACCTATGTGATTCTTAAAAAGAATATAAGAAAAAGTGCGCCCTGTAACTGTCTGCATCAGAATGCGACACCTCAACAGTAGCTCACGAGGGATGGGGATAAGGAGGGATTAAAAAGATAGGAATAAAGGTAGAGATATAGAGAGGGGGAGAAGAGAGCGAGGCTCAGGGACAGCGAACGACGGAAAACGACGGAAGTAAAGAGGAGATAGGAAAGATGGACATGCTCGCAGGAGTCACAGGATGGGGCACCACTCGGCGAGAGCTCTTGTCGGCTGCAGGAGAGGGCGTAGAGCGAGCCAGTCGGCCAGAGCTGCGCTGTCAACGGAGATCGCGGGGGCAAAACCGGTCGGCACGAAATCCAGAGAGCGAGTCCCGTTCGTAACTTCCTTAAGCTGGGTTGTTTTGTCGTTATGTATTTCTCATATTAAATTGGGATGGCTTTGAGGTTTCCCTTATAGTAGAGTACCAAGTACTTTAAACCGTTAAACAATTCTTCTAAACATTTTTTGTCAACAGGACCTGATCAAGTGTGAGGCCCATGAGACGGCTTTATGCTCTCGCATAGTAGAGTACCTAGTACTGAAGCTCGTTAATAATTGTTACTAAACACAGCTTTCATAACCAGTCCTTCGAGTGTAATTTTTGTCAATGCGGCGTCAAGCGTGAGCACCAAGGGACGGCTTTTAGCTCTCCCATAGTAGACTACCAAATACTTTCAGTCGTTAATCACTTTTTCTAAACACGCAGATTCGTGGCAATTGTTTCTGCGGCAGGTTGCCTTCGGCACGGTTACCCATGTCGTTAGCTGCATACCCCGCGTTACAGTTTTATTAGGTGGCATGGATCTGGTAACTGGGACAGCTGATTGCTCTTCTGTACTGGAGTAGCGAGTGATGGAAAGTGAAATGATAGGTGCAACCTCAAGAGCAGAGTGGATCATGGAACATACAGGGATTAAGGATATAAAAATTGTAATCAAGAAGAGGGAATTGACATGGGCTGGGCATGGAGCACGTAGGCAGGATAACCGCTGGTCATCAAGGGTAACTGACTGGATTCCCAGAGAAGGCAAGCGGGTTAGGGGGTGACAAAAAGTTAGGTGGGCAGATTAGATTGAGAAGTTAGCGGGTATAAAGTAGCAGCAACCCCAATTGACTGGCGGAACATGGGGGAGGGCTTTGTCCTGCAGTGGACGTAGTCATGTTGGTCATGATGATGACGAGTAGAGTACACCGTATTCTAAATCGTCAAACATTTCCTTTAAACAAAGATTATTAGAGTTACTATGATTCAGCTCTTTAGCGAACAGATAGAAACGTAGGGCGAAGAAGCCTTCATTAAAAGGTGGCATACATGATTTAGTGGGGTTAGGAATGGGCATCTTGATTTTACTCTGCTATCGTTTTAAAAGGCACTGGCAAGTAAAAAAATGGCGTCTTTTTCACAAATGGCATGCGATTATGTTCCAATTTAGTGGTTGTTGTGTTTACTTTCCTCTTTGTTTCCGCCAGTGATCTGTGAGAGTACTGCAGCGCTGTAAGCTACATCGTGTCTCTGGTCTCTTGTTTGTACGTACTACTGAAGTGGTTTTGTCGCACTGAACAGTTATACCAACCTGAAGTGCTCTTACCGGTATGCAACAAAGTTTTCTGTTTAAATTTGAAAGACGACAGTTTTTCTAGGTGTACTTCAACGCAAGAATCTTGGTCTGTCTGTTGGTACCTGTTCAACAGTTGTGTGACTCGGTGAAAGTTTAACCCTTGCTCAACGCCCCCCCCCCCCCCCCCATCTTGATCTGGTGGCTGTCTTCATACTTGTGAACATTGCTAATCATAAAGCAAAAATTACGCATATCTGAGGTGCAACATGCCCCGTCGCGGTGATCTAGTGGCTAAAGTACTCGGCTGCTGACCCGCAGGTCTTGGAATCGAATCCCGGCTGTGGCGGCTGCATTTCCGATGGAAGCGGAAATGGCTTAGGCCCGTGTACTCAGATTTGGGTGCACGGTATCAAAATTTTCAGAGCGCTCCACTACGGCGTCCCTCATAATCATATGGTGGTTTTGGGACGTTAAACCCCGCATATCAAATCAAATAATTATGAGACCTAGTATTCAGCGTATCACGGTATACGAAAGCAGGCATTATATTTATTTCACAGATGATCATTGCACACATAAAGGCCCCCAAAAGCGAACAGTAATTTTTAATGAGTAGTGGCCTTGCCTGAAAACGCTGCTACTTGTCATGATTAAAAATGCGGACAACTATGGCGTTAACTTATGTAGAAGTGGCCACCGGTGACATCTACCGCTCGGAAACCTACTGGCAGCTGCTTACAAGTCTGAGGGCTCATTCGTTGCGGCAACTCGCACCGGTCATTGGTAAATTAGTGACTGGCAGCCGTAAAGCCGAAGAATCGTCGTTTGGACGAATGGGGTGCTATTAAACACGTCGAGTGGATTTGGCGCGATGCAACGAGGACAACAGTAATCGTGCTGACCCAACTCAACGTGTTTTATTGCAAAGAGACTCGAGGCAACCGATGATCACACTTGAGTGCGACCTCCGCAGCGAATTGGCGTCTGCCCGCAAGGCCGTTGCATGTCAAATAAGGCTGAGGTTCTGTTACTGCACGTATGATAGACTCAGAAGTTTGTCACTGAAGTCACGTGACTGAAAATTCTAACAGCGAAATGCCCCACAGCACTCGATTTGCGTCTGAAGCGGCCATCTGTGACTAGTGGCTTCGCGACTGTCTGTCTGTCTGTCTGCCTGCCTGTCTGTCTGTCTGTCTGTCTGTCTGTCTGTCTGTCTGTCTGTCTGTCTGTCTGTCTGTCTGTCTGTCTGTCTGTCTGTCTGTCTGTCTGTCTGTCCATTTGCCCGTTTGTCCGTCTTTACTGATACCTCAAACGGCACCAAACGGCCAAACCCATGCGCAGCGCCCACCAATATTGCCCAAGATTCATCGTTCATACTTGTGCGATTGTCAATTAAAAAGCAATCATTGCGCATATCTGAGGCACCATAACAACAAGTCGATGCTTTGTATGTGTGCCTTTATACTAGAGAAGGCCCACACTTGATTCTAAGGACCGTAGTGTTTACCACGCTGCACTGCCAGTGCAACGCGATGCTCAAAAAGGTAAGTGCTTCCAACGCTTTGCTAAGACGACATGGTGGTGACACCTGCCCGTCGCTTTGCGTTCTACACCTTATCACCTCCGAGACAAGCGCACATCCTTCTGCGTGGGCGCACACGCCTTCCTTCGTTTTTGAACTGCCAGACGGCACTCCTGTCTAACGTGCCTCGATACGCTCGTTCGTCTCCGCTACACACTCATGGCACTAACGCAGTGCCTCCAGAATACCATTCACCAATTTTCTTGCACAGAACATCAAATGAACGTTTTGTTCAATCTCTTCAGACACAAGACTATCCTCTTTCGATGAAATATGCAGTGTAACATGCAGATTTGGGGCTAATTTTTTTCAACGAGTTCTGGTCGCGCGGCACACGTAGGCTACTTCCGTTCCGCTGTACTGTTTTCTCGGAGTGGACAAAAATACTAGAGCATATAATGCAACAGTGTGATGATAGCGCTCCGAGAACCCTCATTCTTCGAGCTTTATATGAACGTCGACTTACGGCTGCCTCTTGCTGTCCACCTAGGCCAAACCAGTGCCTCCGGCACATCACGTCTACTTACATGTAACTGGCGTAATCAAACTTTCAACGTCTTGCTCGGGACGGTCACACGGGTGAGCAGTGCAAAAAGCAACGCGCTGCAGGGTACAAACATCAGGTGGTGGGGTGCTAAAATACTTGCCGGTTAAAATCCTTTTACAGATGACGAAGCACACGTCCACTTCAGCCAGATGAAAGATGCAGGCGCACATTGTGAGCACGAAATGCGGAGAGCCTAGCAAGCACTTGGCCATTCTCATCCGCTCAGGTGACGCTAAGAAGCGGCCCTGTGGTGGGAGCGAAGACACAAAAGAATTGAATAAAAGAGATAAAGGCGGTGAATCGGAAGCGAGAACTAAAGAAAAAATTACCACGCAAGGCCGGTACTCTTTTCTTGAAACACAGACTTTGCCTAATGCACAACCGTGTGTATTTCATTTGCGTAATAAATGTGTTCTCCTAGACGGGCGATGTGTATGAAGTGAAGCAGTGCCTTGCGGAATCTGCTATCACGTGTCCAGTGGACATGGCTAGTTGTGTGACTGTTCCAAATCACAAAAGAAATAATGCGACCAGTTTCACTCCGTGGAGATCAAGGCCCAGAATTGTCTCTGGAGCTTCGTCCGAAGGATGTCTTTGGCGAAGCGGGGGTCCTTTATGGCTCTGGCGGCGTGCGTTGAGAAAAAAAAAAAACGCTTTTCTGGATCTTTAACTTGGGCAACACTTCCAAACTCCCAGTAAACGATCTCTCCAATTATCAACGTCCCCTTAAAGTTTACGCCTTTTTTTCATATGAGAGAGTTAAGCTCTGCATCCGCATTGGTATTGTAGTTCATTTATTGTATACGTCTCTTGTTTGCTACACTGAAACACCAACGCTCTTAATTGAACGAGAATCTATCGCACAGCTCTTACGCCATTCGCGTGTGTGGGTATGAAAGGCAGCGTACAGGCTTAACAGCAGTACGTGGCAGTACGCTAGTTTAGTGGTTATGGTGGCCGACTAGCGACTCGAGGGCTGCAGATCGAATCTCGGTCGTGGTGGTCACATTTTGGATGGAGGTGAAAGTGCCTGAGACCCGTATACATAAATTTCAGCGCACGAGGAAGAGTCAGGTGATATAAATATTCGTGACCCTCCACTGCGATGCCCCTACTAATCATATCCTTGTTTTAAGGGCGTTAAACCCCAGTAATTAACCATAACTGCACTAGGATAGCGCAGTGATTTGATGGGACACTTGGGAAATACTCATATACATGTACGATGTGTTTTGTGCGAATCTTTTCTGTGTGTACATTCGAACATGTCTGGTCACCAACTGTAGCAAGCGTAGCAGGATCGTACCTCAAACTTCTTGACGGGTGTCCACTTTCGGATCTCGATGGCGATCACTTCCAGGGCGACGCCCAACGCACTCAGCGCGCACCAGACGGCGCTGTTTGACTCGTAACAGTGCCAGGTGATGGTGAAGGAGAAAGCGACAGCAGTACCCACGACCCTCCGGGAGGCGGTGCGTTTGCCAGCTAAAACGGGCTCGTAGACGTACCTGTGAATAACATCAGGAGCGTAGTGACGTAATGGGACAAAAAGTAGCAGCTGCTTGTACGAACACAGCCAATGAGCGAAGCTCCCTAGAAGCGGGACAAAAATGACTATGCGCCTGATCTCGGTGCTAGCTTTCATGAGGGCGGCAGGGTAGGGAGAGCGTCTAGTGCGCTCCGTGCACTCACTCGCTGATTGCGCCACGCAGCGGAAGCGCACCTGTTATATTGCTCGGCGCAGGGAGCTTCGACGGCGACGGTGGAGTGTGGCCCTAACGAGCTTTGGTTATAATAAAAGACTCACAGTAATTTATCCCGTGGCACACCAAACGAGGTATGCAAGTGATTAATTTCGCTGCCCTTCCCCCACTTTAGTGATGTGTGAATGTATTTTTCGTTTTGACACGCTAGCGCTAAAAAGCTCGTTTTGCAGGTATTCTGGCATCAGCATCGTTGGTTGTGAGCGAAAAATGGTGATCGTGTGGGTGACCAAAACAAAGACAAAGATGCAAATAATTAAAATAATGAGAAATTGCGGGTCCGAGAGAGATATCCACTCCGGTTTGTTTTTGTGTGTTCTAGCATACAGCCACACGTCTCCTTGTGAATACAGTAAAAAGAACTTTCTCTGCTTGAAAATACAGTGAAAGTAACTTTCATGGTTTGCAATCACACGCATCCTGTATACATGCTTCACATTAGAACATGTCATATTGCAGTATAGTGTTAGAAGCGTATGTTGCCATCGCGCTTCAGAACATGTGATTATCCTATGAGATCATTGTTTGAAGCAGGCCACCTATTACTAAGGCATAAGTTATTTCGCCTGTTTCTTTAAGGACACGTAGCGGGATGAACGTGTGCCACTATATGTAAGAAGCAAGTGCGAAAAGATTTCATAGACCGATTGTTTGAAGTACGCAATAGCGAGAGGATATGGTTATCGCGTTCATCTCTGAAAGACGAAAGTAAGGGTCGCTCAATTTTTTTTGTGATAGGCTTATATGATGCTTGCTTCAATGTGCGTGCCACCTACGTGCAAAAATACCTATACTTGAGTGCGTCTGATAGGCAGTAAGGAAGGAACAGGAGAAAAAGGAAAAGCAGTGATGTCAACCAGTCTAAGTTGACTGGTAGCTACCCTACAGAGTGTAAAGGGGTAGCGGAACATCAAAGTTGAAGAAAACGAACAAGGAGAGAGCCCGCACATAAAACTGTATTTTGCAGTAACTATAGCAGAGCAAGTATACAATCGCTGGTGCAAGTCTGTTGCCTGGAAGAAATTGACCACCACCTTCACCGCCTTCACCCACGATGTCCTCTCAGGTCGACATTTCACAATTGTTTCTGCCGTCACAAGTATCTGATATATCCCAACAAGAGCGGATGCTGGAGACGTCCTCGATGTACGGTAACGAGGACAGTCGCAGAAGGTGTGCTCTAATGTTTTTTTGCTACCACAGGTGTCGCAACAAAGGCTTGTCAGCTGTTCCAATCCTGAAGGAGGATGGCTTCATGAAGGGCCACTTTCAGCCATTAACACCAAAGCAGAGTGGCGTCATTTCAGTGATTGTAGCGTTTTAACAATGAAGCCGTCCCTGGTCGAGCCTTTCTGGTCCGGGACTTGTGCTGGTGCTTGTGGGCATAATAAACGGATGTGCGCCAGAGACATTGGCTAAATCTCACTCCCCACTGGTGCACTACAAATTAAAGCAACAGTAAACCCAACAAACGTGGAAAGAATATGTGCCACTCAAGTCTTTGCATCCCATCAAAAAACTATCATAATCATAAACGCCTATGAGTCAAAGAAGTTTGGTAAATACCACTACACAGAACTTCGACTAAAAGGAAGAAGTGGCGTGACTGTTACCGTAGACACACTACCGTCAAGTGATACTTTGTGGTTGTGAAAAGTGAAGGCTGTGCTAACACTTTCAAAACTTTACGAAGAGTGCTTAACATGGATCCTTGCTATAGCAGATCAGAGCATCTTCAGCGAAAGCTTCTTTGCACACCTGCCCCGCCGCGGTGGTCTAGTGGCTAAGGTACTCGGCTGCTGACCCGCAGGCCGCGTTATCGAATCCCAGCTGCGGCGGCTGCATTTCCGACGGAGGCGGAAATGTTGTAAGCCCGTCTGCTCAGATTTGGGTGGACGTTAAAGAACCCCAGGTGGTCGAAATTTTCGGAGCGCTCCACTACGGCGTCCCTCATAATTGGAACGTTAAACCCCACATATCAATCAATCTTTGCACACCTGCGTAGACAGTGGCATGTTCAATGAGCAATAAAACATACGATCGCCTCGAAACTTAAGAGAGAGTGCCTTATAAAGAGAAGTCTTAGAACATAAATGAAAGACTTATCTAAACATATCTAAAAGCGCAAGAATACGTTAGGGTGACAAACCACACGCCACCTGCTTCGTTCTTCTATCATTCTCCCCAAAGCGGAGCTCGTGTAATTTTCATTGTAGATAAATGAGAATACTGACATCAGTCGTTAAAAGCCCAGTTCGGTGATAACGTTCCTAAGGGCTTCGACAGCTAGGAGCTAGATGACACAAGGGTCTGTGTGCACTTCATGTCATTTGTGAGTGTTATTTAGGGTGCATATCTGCAGCGTACCGTTTTTCATTCAGCATACCCGTTCAGCTGTTTTCTGCACTTCATATAATGTAATCTTGCACAGTTCATCTACTGGTGGGCCTTTCTAAATGAAATCATTGCCATCTGTAGATCGGGGTACGCCATGTGAGATAACTGTGAAAGAAATAATTGGCGAAGACATTCTTATGCTCTGAATAAACCGTGCGAATGAGGCGTTTTTTTCCTGAAAGAACGAAATGCAGTTTTAAAGAAACTGAGAAAAACGCCCTCTTTTTTTTTACTGGCATTATGGTCGGGCCTGCCCCAACAACTTTTTGCTAGTATTTTTCTATCCCCTAAATACTACAAATTTACAATGTGGCGAAAAGCTACATAGCCCTAACATTGCCCGTACTCAGGAGTAATGTTTTCATTTGAGTCATGCAGAGTCAAACATTTCACTTGGCCGTGAATTATCTCGTAAAATTAGTATATAACGATCCGAAAGTACGGTATAACCATATTTTGTGATAGAATCAACGTCACTATTGTGCTTCCTATGGTGCCGTGCTTCGTCGCATGGACGTAATGGCGATTACTATCTATTGAAGGCATTGAAAAGTGTGGCAATTCGTTTTCTGCCATGTCGTTTTGGACCACTTCTCCTTCGTTAGCGAATAGATAGATGCCCAGTATCTTCATTTCAAGTGTATTTTGTTTTTCAAATATACCCTGTTCGAGCGAGTGGAGGACATAATATTCTAGTGCTGAACTCAAAAATAATGAAGAAGTGGCAAAAAAATTAGGCAAATCTCACGTACCTGAGAGTCAACGATATGAGAAGCATGCGGGGGGGGGGGGGGGGACTCTCGAAAGTGTACTCTCAAAAACATAAAGTGAAATAATTGCTCTCACAACAAAAGACATCTGATTCCACTGGACTACAGTTCTCGAAAAAAAAAAACACATTTTGAAAGCTTTGGTATCGCAGGTTACTTTTTTTACACTAAAGTAACCGAGTGCACTTCTTATCGCTATTAAGCCTGATCGAGATCAAACTTCTCGACTGTCATTGGATCTGCAGCTTTTATAACGGAGCGAATCTGGATTGAAAACATTCTATCCGGATGATCGCGGTCAAAAGTGCCCATGTGATAGCGGTATTATTTACATGGTCCAGCCGCAGCAAAACGTAATCATGTTTCGACAAATATCACCGGGGCTCCTAAGTGCGTTGATTTAGGAAGTATTTAACAAAAAATAGGTTCAATCATGACATATTGTTGTTCTATGTACCAACATAACATGCGTGGAGGGCATACAGCTATAGTACTCTGAAACGAATTTTCATATGGGCTGTGCATTTCAGGCCACATGGGAACGCAACATTGCACGCCAGAGCAACACGAGAAGCAATACAAAAATATAAAAAATTGATGTTTTAGAGAAAGTATGAAACAAGCAATATTTAAACAAATTTAAATAGTTGTTTGCGTACCTTCGAATAAGTAGGTGCATGCCTCGGTCAAAGTACCTGCAAAAAATAATGAAGAAAAAGAAATCTGACAGGCTTTCTTACGTTTTAGACTAAAACGACTAGAAGGTGGAAGCCACCTGGTGAGCCCTAAATTCTTATCATTCGGCGGTGTACCCAACACGTGTCTATAAGGCAATGTGTGCGCTACCCACGGGAATAGTTGTGGAAAAACGACACCACAAAGAGAGGCCTTTTTTTTCTTCTCGCGATTGAAGAAATCCATTATTAGACCATTTTCAAAATTGTAAAGTTAGCGTTCCTGCTATGCAGCTTGAATAACTAATGGCAGCTAGTCACTTACTGCAAAGAGCTCGTTTAAGCGCCGTCTGCTTAGGCAATGACGCGAAAATGTACAGTCGGCTCTCTCGACAGAAACTCTCCCAATACACACGCCCCGCCTCGTTCAACTAGGACCGGGGCTCCGCTTGAAGCGTGGGAGGCGTCGCCATTACATGAACAAATAGGCAGTGCATAGAAGCACACTCGCGAATTACTAAAAGTGTCCATAAGAGCACTGCTGTTGCTCTGGTGTTCCTGTATTTGATGAATATATTACGCCTGTTGATAACCAAACATTTATTCTTTTTCGCAGCTTACCTGCAAAAGGCACTTTTTAGGCAACAAACACAGCGAGGCAACACGCACAGTGGAGCTTATGCACACAGCTAGTATCTGCCCGAAGCTGTGCACACACTAGTATGCACCTCTCGGCAACCCTGCACTCGTCTCTGATGTAGGTTCACCTACTGATACTGATGGCTGCCTTATAGTGATAGGGTGCGCATTTGCGAGCCAGGCGTCGTCTCTAAACACTTCGCAAAAAGTTAGCAATGCCTAGCCAAAGTTAGTAAATCTTTTCATTAACCCGCAACACCCAGTAAAAGCATTCTCAACGCTTAGAAAAACTTGGCAATAAACTAGCAATACTTCCAGGGGCCAGGTCCAGCTCGGTGCCAATGAGCTTCGCTGTGTCTTTAACCTTGTTCCGCTAGGGCAAGCTACTTCTTGCTTTTAAATGCATTGGACTGCATAGACACGGCTTACCGCCCCTCCATATATTTTGTGTCAGGTGATCACGCTCAAAATGAAATGGTCAACACAGGCTTAAGAGAAGTCTATCAAGTCTCAAAACCAGGTAAAGATTACTGAAGATAATAACATAATTACCATGAATAACCAAGAAGCAATCGCAATAGTTGTCTTTAAGTTGTCAAACATCAAATTGCAATAATTATCTTCAAATTCAAACACTAAGCTGACACCCGCGCCACGCCAGAGAGGGCGCTACCGCATCGCCGAGTGTGCAAGTGCTCCCGCCACCGGCGCTTCCCTGGCGCCTGCGTCGCTAAACCATTGGACGCATTGAACTTACAGAATCTTCCTAACGAAATTCCAATCATCCCGGGGAAACCATTCACGTCCATCTCAAGCAATGACGTCATCGGTCGGCGTTTCAGCGAACGAATTGATGAAAACTACGAACAGCAATCGCTTGGTGTTCGGGCAACGCATTTTCTCGGGTTTCACACCGCTGATGGTGAACTTAACTCGCAGTGTAGAACTAGACCAATCGCCACACACGACGTCTTTAAAAGAAAATTTTATAACTCAGATTGAGGTGGTGGCGTTGCACGTGCTAAATCCGGTGCTACAGAAATGCCACTCTTGAAAGTGCGTCCGTCACATGACTAGTTGTCGGCGCATTTTTTTCAAGAAGAGGTGCGTGCTCGATTGTGGGCTTGTCGGTGATCAGCCGTTTTTGATTGGGCAGTTTGATTGTTTATCGAAGTAACGTGTAATTTTACGCTGCTACATTTCGTTGCTGCTCGAATATGTATACATATGCACGACCACTGTTGTTGCTTGTAGAAACTGAAGTGTGGCACTGCTAAGCAGGTGGATGATTGTGTAATTTCTGGCTTGCGAGAAGAAAACGAAGGGTAGCGTTGCGAAGAAAAAAATAGATAAACAAATGAATAAATAATTACTTTAATAAATTAACAAATAAACAAATAAGGCAAGGAAGAAAGAAAGAACTGGGTACCACCGGGAATCCCCCACTCGGTAAGCAATATCTTCGAATTTTTTTTTTCAGGGAAAAGATTACAGTAAAGAAGCTATTCAGTGCACTCAGTACAGCTAGCTGAATGACTGAGATTGTACTTACCTCCAGAATTGCGAGCATCGGTGCAACCTGGCTATGCAGGGGGCGGTTCCCGGGATCTCGATTCCCTCGGCCTTGGCCAGGGCGCCGGAGAAGCCATAGGTGAACAGGTAACACATGTAGTAGTTAAATTCCAGGGACAGAGCGTAGCCCACAAGGCTGGGGTAGTCCAGTCTTTCGCCCATCCAAGCCTTTTCTGCCATCGCTGAACTGCGTGTTCGATGCGCACATACAGAAAACGCTCTTTTTGGCCGTCAGATACATCAACGCAGCTTATTCGCCACTTGGCTCCTTCTATGTTCGTATTCGCTACGTGATGCTTGTAATGAAAAGTGTGCATGGGCTACCATCGTTTAGCATGACACCCTGTGATATTCCCATCGTCATACGAAACTGCAGGTAAAAAGGTAATGACGAATAGCTGCTACCGTTGTTACGTGGTATAGCCCGTTGCTCATGTAACGTAAAACATGTGGAATTGGCTGAAGCTAAATACATGATTTTTCACCAGAACATTTATTTTTGTATGACTTTTTATGCATCCTGATTAAAGAAGACGAGCCATTATCTCCCACGCTATCGAAATTTCTTAAAACTTCGTTTTCTTGAGTTTTGGTTACAGAAAAACAGAAATGTAAGGATCTACAGATGGTACGTTGATGTCATGGAATCTTGTAGAGCACAACTGTATTCTTAGTAGGTAAGAAAACTCAAATTAAAAAGTGACGAAGGAAAACATTGTCTAGCGTAAGAAAAAGGGGTCGGAGATTGTGTATAGGATAGCTGTAGCGCTTTGAATATACAAGACATAAGATTATGAGAGCAGAGAATTATTAACATTTCCAGAGTAGTGAGAAAAAGCTTCTAATAGTTGTTAAACGTCATAGTATCTTCATCATCATCATCATCATCAGCCTGACTACGTCCACTGCAGCACAAAGGCCTCTCCCATGTTCCACCAGTTAACCCGGTCCTGTGCTTGCTGCTGCCAATTTATACCCGCAAACTTCTTAATCTCATCTGCCCACCTAACCTTCTGTCTCCCCCTAACCCGCTTGCCTTCTCTGGGAATCCAGTTAGTTACCCTTAATGACTAGCGGTTATCCTGTCTACGCGCTACATGCCCAGCCCACGTCCATTTCCTCTTCTTTATTTAAACTATGATATCCTTAACCCCCGTTTGTCCCCTAATCCACTCTGCTCTCTTCTTGTCTCTTAAGGTTACACCTACCATTTTTCTTTCCATTGCTCGCTGCGTCGTCCTCAATTTAAGCTGAACCCTCTTTATAAGTCTCCAGGTTTCTGCTCCGTAGCTAAGTACCGGCAAGATACAGCTGTTATATACCTTCCTCTTGAGGGATAGTGGCAATCTACCTGTCATAATTTGAGAGTGCTTGCCGAATGTGCTCCACCCCATTATTCTTCTTCTAGTTACTTCAATCTCGTGGTTAGGCTCTGCGGTTATTACCTGCCCTAAGTAGACATAGTCTTTTACAGCTTCAAGTGCACTTTTACCTATCTCGAAGCGCTGCTCCTTTCCGAGGTTGTTGTACATTACTTTCGTTTTCCGCAGATTAATTTTAAGACCCACCTTTCTGCTCTCCTTGTCTAACTCCGTAATCATGAGTTTCAATTCGTCCCCTGAGTTACTCAGCAATGCAATATCATCGGCGAAGCGCAAGTTACTAAGGTATTCTCCATTACCTCTTATTCCTAACTGTTCCCATTCTAGGCTTCTGAAAACCTCCTGTAAGCACGCGGTAAATAGCATTGGGGAGATTGTGTCCTCCTGCCTTACACCCTTCTTGATTGGTATTCTGTTGATTTCTTTATGAAGCACTATGGTAGCAGTTGATCCCCTGTAGATTTCTTCCAGAATGTTTATATATACTTAATCTACGCCCTGATTCCGCAGTGTCTGCATGACGACTGATATTTCTACTGAATCAAACGCCTTCTCGTAATCTATGAAGGCTATGTATAGTGGTTGGTTATACTCTGAGCATTTCTCTATTACCTGATTGATAGTATGAATGTGGTCAATTGTTGAGTAGCCTGTTCGAAATCCTGCTTGTTCCTTTGGTTGATTGAATTCTAATGTTTTCTTTACTTTGTTAGCAATTACCTTTGTAAATAGCTTGTATACTACAGAGAGCAAGCTGATCGGCCTGTAATTCTTCAAATCCTTGTCATCTCCTTTCTTATTTATTAAGATGATGTTAGCGTTCTTCCAAGACTCTGGTACCCTTCCCGTCAGGAGACACCTCGTAAACAGGGTGGCTAGTTTTTCTAACACAATCTGTCCTCCATCTTTCAGCAGGTCTGTTGTTACCTGATCCTCACCAGCAGCTTTGCCTCTTTGCATGCTCTCCTAACGCTTTTCTGACTTCTTCTATCATTACTAGTGGGGTGTCATCTGGGTTACTGCTAGTTCTTATAGTATTAGTGTCGTGGTTGTCTCGGCTACTGTTCAGATCTCTGTAAAACTCCTCCGCTATTTTAACTATCCTATCCATATTGGTAGTTATTTTGCCTTCTTTGTCCCTTAGTGCATACATCCAACTTTTGCCTATCCCAAGTTTCCTCTTCACGGCTTTGACGCTTCCTCCGTTTTTCAGAGCGTGTTCAATTCTCTCCATGTTATACCTTCTTACATCGCATACTTTACGCCTATTAATCAACTTCGAAAGCTCTTCCAGTTCTCTTTTGTCTGTTGTACTTGAGACTTTCATGATTTGACGCTTCTTAATTAGGTTCTTCGTTTCCTGGGAAAGCTTGCCAGTGTCCTGTCTAACTACCCTGCCTCCAACTTCCGCTGCACACTCCGTAATGATATTCGTCAGATTATCATTCATTGTATCTACGCTAAGGTTGGCTTCCTCACTAAGAGCCGAGTACCTGTTCTGCAGCGACACTCTGAATTCCTGTACTTTCCCTCTCAGTGCTAGCTCATTGACTGGCTTCTTGCGCATCAGTTTCTGTCGTTCCTTCTTCAAGTCTAGGCGAATTCGAGACCGTACCATTCTATGGTCACTGCATCGTATCTTGGCAACCACTTCCACATCCTTCACGATTCCTGGGTGTGCAGTCATTATAAAGTCTATTTCGTTCTTATTTTCGCCATTAGGGCTCCTCCATGTCCACTTGTGGTTTTCTCGTTTTCGGTAGAAGGTATTGAAAATCCGCAAATTATTGCGTTCTGCGAATTCCACTAGTAGCTCTCCTCTGGCGTTTCTAGTGCCGATGCCATAATCTCCTAGCTGCCTGGTCTCCAGCCTGCTTCTTCCCTACCTTTGCATTAAAGTCGCCCATCACTATAGTATACTGTGTTTTTACCTTACCCATTGCCGATTCCACGTCTTCAATGAGTAAGGTAAAAACACAGTATACAATAGTGATGGGCGACTTTAATGCATAGTATAGTCATAGTATATACCACCGTAATTTTAAAGCATACAAAAATAATTTATTTTATTTACCGCAATATGGAAGCGCATCTCTTTATCTTCAGTATGTTGATAAAAGAAATGTTGCTTCAAAGCACTGCAATGGCCATGTCCTTTGATTTCATCTAACCACAGAATTTAATGTGTGCTCTGAATAGACCACGTTCTCTTTTTTCCTTGTAACGACTCTTTTTGGAGGTCTACATTGCATTCAGGATGTCAAGAAAAAGCATCATAATCAAGCACTTCCTGCAGTGAATTGTGCCTCGGTGTACCTGTTGCAACTGAAAGTCTTCAAAGGCCCGAGACATAAGAGGCAAACAGAAGTACCACACAAGCTCGCGCTACATGCGTCACTATCCTGCCCATTTTGAATTTTAGTAAAGACATGGCAGTTATTCCGTCTCCGATGTTTCACTGTACTTAGTCAAGTGCAAATGTGCATATAGAGGTAGGTGCTCGCACTCACACATCAAATCACTGTCTTATAGAGTGGTGCGAATCACCATCCCTATCATCATCATCATCATCATCGTCGTCGTCGTCATCATCATCAATCTGATACGCCCACCGCAAAACAAAGGCCTCTTCGATGTCCTGCCAGCCAATTCGGTCCTATGCTTGCTGCTGCCACTTCACACCTGCAAACCTGCTAATCTCATTTGCCGACTTAACTTGCTGTTTCCCCTTCCGACCCACTTGCCTTCTATTGAAATCCAGTCTGTGATCCTTAATGACCAGCGGTTATTTTGCCTTCGCGCTACGTGCCCTGCCCATGACCATTTATTCTTCTTGAGTTAGGCTATGATGTCCTTTAACTCGTTTGTTCCCTGACCTATTCTGCTCTCTTCTTGTTGCGTAGAGACACACCTATCATATCCCTTTCCATTTCTTGCTGCGTTGTTCTCAATTTAAGTGGCACCCTCTTTCGGGGCGAATACAACGGCTTTAACACTTTTACGTACTGGCAAATAGGCTCGTAACCTTAGTATATCAAGCACGCATACTTCCCGAATAAAAAGAACAGGAGTTTTACAAACCTGTAAAAGAAGTGGGCCATGATTTCCATGAGCAGAAAGTGCGCGCCACACCGCACAATCCTCGCCACGGCGATGGTGACTTCACGAGCCGTGCAAGTCGGTTTGGGTTTCTCAGACTGAGCAGATGCAGGAGAAAATTTGGGAGGAACACACGTACAAGATTTTATTTTTGTGTACACACGGGTCTGCACAGAATGTTCCGACCGAAAGATTGCCCCTATAAGGTACAATTGTCGTCACTGTCGTGCAGGCTGCCATAGCCGAACTTGAGCGTGATTTCTGCGCGGTAATTATTCACTGGCCGGGGATGCGATTAATTTATTTCAGTGACTCTGTAAAAAGCTAGAGACATTACAAGCAATAATCCCTGGTTTTATGTTCCGAAACCGTAAAATGAAGTGTGAGGGACGCTGCAGTGAAGGGCTCCGAAAATGCGGACGACCTGGTGTTCTCTAACGTGCAGTGACATCGTCAGTAATCAGACCTCCAGCATTCAGTGTAATTGTGGTCACTGCGGCCAAGATCTAACCCGTGACCTTTGGGCAAGTACACGTCATTGGCGATTGCTAATTCGATTGGTTTTTCTCGCCTCGATTCAACCGGCGGCCTTTTTTTTCTCTTCGTTTTTGCGTGGGTGCAAAAAAATTTATTCATTTATTTCCAAAATACACCCACCAACCATCCGCCTAGAAAGAAGAGGCAAAATCATAAAACCGAAATGATATACATGTGCCACCAGAAAAATAGAAACATACTGGCATATCCATTGCCAAATTATGAGGTAAAAGTTAGATAACTCAATCTGGTAAGTACCATTAGGTAGTGATATAATGACAGTACGTTTCATTCATGCACAAGGTGGGAAACAAAGAAACATCGAGGGCGTCAGGTCTACTTTGATAGTAGGAGTTAAACCATTGAGAGGGATGATGCCTGGTTAGCTTTATAATTAAACGGTGTGCTTAGGGGCCAGGGTGAACCGAAAGCTAGGTAATGCTGCGGCGAAAAAGAAAGTGATTTTAACTCTGGTGAAACAGCATGAACGATGGGAGAGCGGGAAAACGCAGGACCTTGCTTTGGCTATGATCTGGTAGCGTTATGTCAAACCCATAGTAGATGGAAATAGGGAGCGAAGAAATGGCAAACTAGAACCGCGAAGCTTTTAAACGAATCAGCAAATTATTGTTCACATCGCTAACTATCAACATACACTTCCGGTTAGAGCTTTGTCGGGTTTTTGTGTGTTCCTTGACGGACTCTAATGAAGATTATGAGCCAACAAACCAACCAGCTAACCTAATTTTCTCGAGCCTGTCGGCATTTGTCTCATGACAGTAATGTTTTAGGTGCGAGTAAGTGCCAAATGACATTCGTAGGGTCACACAAATGAACCACAACTTTGTGGTGCAATCAATTATGTAAGAGAATAGGAGTACCAAAAGAACACCTAGACACCAAGTTTTCATTAGACGCATTTATAAAGCCATTTTATTTACATTAATACTGATGAGGCAAAGGTTCAACGCTGTCTGCTGACTCAGCCTGTCTGCATTGTATACTGAAATTTATGGCCTGCAGATTTCTACCGCATCTAGGCTGCGTGTTGACCAAGAGTATGCTACACGAAAATTGGTGGGTGCATTTCGCAGCACATTTAGAAAATAAAAATTCACGCGTCTATTTCTGGATAACCCGAGACTACTTGAAAGAGAAAGTAATCCTTTTTTTTTATCACTGGCTGTTTTGGTCCTCTCCCTTCACTGCCCCACCCACATATAGCGTCCTGCTCCTAACGTGCTTTCTCGCTGCCTCAAAGATCAGAGGCATTGTATTCTTCATCTCGGTTTGCTTTGAGCTGCCTCCATGATGGGTCCACTTTAGTCAAGCCACGATGTCCTGCACTGACATGATTGTTTGACGTTAGGTTTGGGACGTCATGATGACATCATCACATGATGAATAATTTCAGCATCACTCGTGTCGACATAGCTGACGCAGGACGCCGAAACCACCAACGGTCACTTTTTGTGTTTGGCTAAGTACCTAAGTCTTAAGCTAAACCACTTAGATAAAAAAAAAACTGCAAATTTCTGTGCACTAGCTTTTCGACCATGGTGTCACTGTCTGTGTGCCTGGAGGATTGAGCCTATAAGATTATGAACTACAAAATAAGGACACGTGCTTTCGACGTACCTGGTTAACGAAGTCATCGTAAACCTGCGGAGGTCCTAGGTAAAGCATGGGCATGTACAGCAGATACCCAAGCGTCTTCCAATATGGCGGCCACCTGCGCTTATTGATGTCCGAATCATTCTTGCGCTGCTCTGACTTAACGAAGTCCACACTGAAACTGAGGCCACGCAGCACGTTCCAGAGGAAGGCGACGTACACGGCACCATACGCCATGTGTCCGTACTTGGAATAGCATGTACTGGAACACATATAAAGAACGGACCTCTGCAATGCGAGTAGGCCCAGTCCATACCCACAAACATAACGAAACATATCGCTCGTTTCGTGGTGTTGCGTGGTATTTTATAAGCAGTAAATACTCAATCTGAGATGGTTAAAGTGAGTAAGTGAGTAAAACGTTATACAAGATAGGGCAAGTTCGTTATCCCAGCTGGACCACACAGGTGGAGGTCAGAATTCATTGTCTCCCGATGCCCTACCTGGCCTACCAGGATATCCCATGGACTCGCTTTCTGAATTTCGTGCCGACTGGTTGTGCCCCTGCGATATCCGATGACAGCGCAGCTCTGGCCAACTGGCTCGCCCTACGCAATCTCCTGACGCCGACAACAGCTCTCGTTGAGTGGTGCTCCGTCCTCGGACTCCTTTGACCGTGTCCATCTTCCCTATCTTCTCCTTACTTCCGGATGTCGCTGCCCCTGCGCCACGCTCACTCATTCCCCCCCCCCCTCTATCTCGATACCTTTTAATCCAGTCCTTTTAATCCCTCCTTACCCCCATCCCTCGTGCGCTACTGTTGAGGTGTCGCACTGTGGTGCAGAAAGTTACGGGGCTCACTTTTATCTTCTTTTCTCTCTTTTAAGAATCGCATAAGAAAGATATCCCATTTTTGGTCTACGACTTCCAAGCCGAGCAGCTTTAGCTGCTACCGCTCCTGCAATGCTCCTGGAGGGCCCCAGGAAAACTTGTTGATATGTTGCGAAATTCCCAGAACACATGTTTAAACCAACCCTGTTCTGTTGTGCATAGCTTGCATTTGTTGCCCGGGTATAGGTGTGGGTAGTTCCTGTGGAGATGTAATGATTTGGGTGCGACTTTGTACATCGCGGTCAGTATTCAGTCGCTTGCTCCAGTCAAGAGTCGAGTTAGATGCGGGAAAGACGCGCTTTGTTTCTATGCAATGTGCACATTGTTTGTAGCATGTAAATCTGTATTGGAGTCGTACGACAGTGATTCTATATTGACGCAAGATACATTGAAAGTTCGTGCGCCAGTCGTTTGCTACGCCCTCAATGTTGCCTTTGGTATGCGTGCGAAACAGAGCAAGCGAAGCGCCGGTGGGTACTACCAGGATCGATATTGACAACTCTGGCACGTTCGAGCTGCGCGGAGATAATGCAAGAAGACGAAGTGTTCTGTACGTAAACATTTTTATCTAACTTGTGCCTCCTTTACTGCAGATGAGAACTCGCATGCTCAGAATGCTTTCAAAGCATTAGTTCCTTCACATCTCAATCTGATCAAACTGTTCTGGGTTCCTGGACATAAGGGCATTTATATGAATGAAATGGCAGATGCGTTGGCCAAGTCATCTTTAAATGGACCTGTTATTGATGTATTACCAGCATCAAAATTCTTGATAGGTGCTAGATTAAGAACGAAACTACTGGTAGAGGAATTTTCTACACCTTCACTAACAGCCACACCAGCATTCAAGCACTTGTTATACCATTGGAATAGTAAAATATGTCAAACGCGAGGAACGAAAGTCGCAGTCACTAGACTGCGCTGTCAAATTCCACAGCTGAATTTATATTTACACAGAGCTGGTCTGGCAGCCTCCCCTCATTGTCCTGTTTGTGGAGTAAATGAGTCAACATAACATTATCTCATTTATTGTATAGATTCTCTGCCTAACGTAAAAACAATTTAGGAGCCGTATGCCACCTTCTCGGAATAGATTTAAAAGCTGAAAATGTGCTTTCTTTCGGGGCTTTGTATCTAGGCCACAGCGACGGGAAGATGGTTGACGCATTGCAGGAGTTCGTCAGAAATTCAAAGATGTTTAAGTGGTGAAATTATTGTTCGGTAGATTTTGAAATTTCCAAATTTATATTAAATCAAATACGACGCTTTATTGCATTACACTACAGATTATTTACAATTCGGCCATCTAATTCGTCTTGTTGCATCTTTTTTTTATGACTCGTACATGGTTTAATTTTAATCTGTTATTAAACAAGAAATTCATGAAAACTACCTGGTTCTTGGCCAATCCCCCTGCGTGGGTATGCGCCACATCGTCAAGGATCTTGACTTGCCTTGACTTGTTTGTTTGTGGGGCACAAGTTCGCCCGTTTTAGCTATTTTCTTTAAAGTTTACTTTTCAACTGTGCGTGACTATATATATATATATATATATATATATATATATATATATATATATATATATATATATATATATATTTAACGATGGACCTGTTCGGATTGCGTAGCGGGTTCATTGTCGCGAGAACTGGGGGTCCATTGCGTTTGGATTAACGGTATTAGTGTGCCTGCGTGCCGGAAATAATAATAAATATTTTGGTTTAAATTATTTTATTAATTTAGTCTATTAGGTAGGATTAGAAGAAATTACTTCAAAGTTATTATTTGCGTGAAATTTATACTGACTGACTTGTGCGTCAGTCAGTATGAATAAATGTTTGTTTTAGGTGACAGTCCGGGCTATGACTACCTTCTCATACTTCTATTAGTTGTGACAGTGCATACGTTGACAGTGCATATGACAGTGCATACGGGCCTTGTGTTCAGGGTTGTTGGCTGGCATCTACAAAAAGAGATTTGCTGCTTGTGCCGTGTACTTTGAGCAGGGCTTTCAGTCTGTATTGATGTCCGTGGGTCGTCGTTTATCGCATTGGGTAAATCCCACTGTGATATACGATGGAATACGTACACGAAAGCTCTAAAAGAAAAGAATAGCTTTACTGCTATAAACGAATTAGTCAGTCATACTCCGCGAAGCGCGTCCTACAGAGAAGCTATATTTTTGACGATGATCAGATGATGACGACTTCTTTCAGTACAAGAGGTCATCATTGTCATTTTGAAACATCATTTTCATTATCATTTCAAGATGTTAATTTATTTATTCATTTCCCGTTGCAGCTGCGTGACCAGTGTGATGACTAATACAACAACATCTACTACTACTGCTAGTATGACTACTACCATTTAGACGACGACAACAGCAAAGGAGTTGCTGAGCATACAAAATGTTGATTTTAGCGCTACAAAAGCGTACACATCTGTCTGTTATTCGTCTCTGATGATGATGATGATGATGATGATGATGATGATGATGATGATGATGATGATGATATGTGTGTGACGCTATGAAGAATGGGAGACGTGGCCCGGCTCATACTCCACGTTTTTTCAAATCTCACTTCTTCCTTCTCGGCTTCTACCAATCATCGCTTCATACGTCACACGATTCCCCCTCCCCCCGAAAGAAGGCATGGATTACGAACAAGGAAAAGTACACAAGGAGAGGTTGAGAAGTCACAAATGTCAAAATGCACAATTGGTTTCATGGCCCCGTGGTGTTCCGTAAACTCGCAAAACTTCAGGAAAGAGTGCAGCAGTCCGGTTAACGCAGGAGTTCTGGTGGGCGAGGCTGATGGTTGCGTCCTGGATAACACAAGAATGCTTTGGACGTGGAGATAGCGGAAATCGCAGCCGGCATTCTTGTGAAGAATAAACGAGGTTCGAACACCTTGCAGAATGGACAGTTCAGATATCGTAGGCATCGAATTGTTCGTCGTGGCACGGGTCGTGCAGGCAGCTTGCGTGCGCTTTGATCGAGGTTGATTGGGCGCTGCCTGTGTTTCTGCCGAGTACAAGGGGTGCTTTTGTGGCTTTTGGAAATTTTTCTATGGCGATGTCGCACATTGTTTGATGGAAGGCACATTCTTGATCTTTGGTGGAGAATGTATCCACCACGATGGGCCTTTTTGCAATGTTCTTCAAGCCTTAAGAGTGCACTCGATGAAGTTTTGTTTCGCCGTTGACAATGTTGAAGTATGCGTTGACGTTGTAATTTCTTCGTTTCGTCAACTTGCTTGTGGTGTGACATTGATCTTGTTGTGCCAGGATTCTTAGCGAGTCCTCCGGAGGCTTCTACGACGCCAACCAATGCAACTGTTTCCGGCGCAAGATAATGTGGCGGGTTTGATGCACTTGAATCTTCTGTATTAATAAACCGTTCATTGTTGGTCGTTGCCTGAAGCGTACTTATGTCATCAGAAGTCGCACCTGCGGTTTTGTTTTCATTATATGCAGTGAGGTTGTATACTGAAAAATCCAACCGTAAGTCCGGTCTTTTGGCAAAATGGTCTACATTCCTATCGGCATACGGTGGCATTACCTTCTCTGCTGCGAAGTGCAAGTCCCTAGTTGGTGTTGTAATGCGTGAAGTGTATTTGGACGAGTCATACGATGGTACAATGGTGGAATATTTACTCTGAAGTCTTGTTTGGGAAATCCGCTTACTGCGGGAAGACTTCGCGTAACTGTGATGGTTGAGTTGAAGAGACTTCAGCTGATGAGGTATGTACAGGTCTTCATCGTATTCTTTGAAACGGGTGATCATTTCTTCTTTGATCTTTTTCCAAGACTCATCGTTCTCGAAGATGTGGGTGAGGTAAAATTTGAATGCCTCACCTGAGATGTAGTCAGTGAAGTTGATGATCATCTCCCGTTCCGACCATGATGCAGCGGTGGCATGGAGCTCGAACAGGTTGAACCAGTCCTGTACGGGTCCGTCGTCCGCTGATCCGGTGTACTTAAGGATGTCAAGGTCTTCTGATGCTGCTGTCATGATCCTTGGTGGTCTTGGTGGTCCACGTTCGGTCACTGCGTCTCGCTGAGGTCTTCGATGATGATGGCCGGGCGATGAAGTGGTTGCGAGGCCTTCATCCTGCCGACTTGTGTGACGCTATGAAGAATGGGAGACGTGGCCCGGCTCATACTCCATGTTTTTTCTTCTTCTCGGCTTCTTCTCGGCTTCTACCAATCATCGCTTCATACGTCACATGTGGGGTTTAACGTCCCAAAACCACCATATGATTATGAGAGACGCCGTAGTGGAGGGCTCCGAAAATTTCGACCACCTGGGGTTCTTTAACGTGCACACAAATCTGAGCACACGGGCCTACAACATTTCCGCCTCCATCGGAAATGCAGCCGCCGCAGCCGGGATTCGAGCCCGCGACCTGCGGGCCAGCAGCCGAGTACCTTAACCACTAGACCATCGCAGCGGGGCTTCATGTTTGATTGAGTGTACTGGAATAGTGTATAAGCTTGTATTAGCATGTTGATCACTAGTGATGTATTCATTCGGCTGGCGATACAATCGATGTAAAAGTAGTTAAATAAATGTTGGGTTTAGTTTGGTTCGAGCATGTCAAGTGTGTCCGCGTGTTTTGAAAGCGTGCCTCATTTCAAGAGCCCACATTGTGTACGTCTTTTGTAGCGCTAAAATTCCGATGTTATATATATATAGAGTAAGGCAGCTCTGGTGTATGAGAAGACAGCAAATGGCAGGCGTACGCAGAAAACAGATAAATATTGTGACTCACGTCGTATGGGTCTGACGGGAGGAATAACTTCTGGAGGTGGATTGCGGCGGCGACCACGTAGCACAGCGCTGTGCTGTGCAACGTGGCCGTGAGGTAGAAGGCGGCGTGTTGTCCCACGAAGAGCAACGTCACTTCCCAGCCGAAATGAATGGTCACGAACAGGGAGGAGTAGGCGGCGTAGAAGACGGGCATCATCTGTGAGTAATTTAGCAATTATCTTGGGCTTAACAGCAAGAGAGACATACAAAGAGGAAGAAATATTAAGAAAAGACACCAAGGCTAACCGGAGAGACAGAGAGATAATTTATGAAAATGCAGAAAGATCGGCTTGAGCTATAGTAGGTTCTAGCCCGCTACTTTGTACAGAGTAAAATTAATAATTTTCGGTCGGTTTCAACATAGTAGCCGTAGCGTGTTGCTACCCAAAAAACTTCCGCCCACTTCATTTATTAGTTTCTAACGCAGAAGCAGAAGTGTTGTGCTTGAGGTTGTGCTAGAATAACGAGACTCTTTCTACTTTCAGGAAAAAGGAAGCGCCCAATGTTAAGAACTAAGTCTTAAATTGTTATATCTGGCTTAAAAAAAAGTGTATTTGAAGTGTTTGACCAGGCACAGAAAGAAAACACTTGAAAATGAACTGGCTACTCGTTAGGTCTTCCCTATCTCACCAATGCTGCTATAGGCTAAGCCGGCACACAGAACCAGAAGCCATCCAGTAACTGCGTTCGTAAACAGCGATAGGGTCCTATAACCACGCAACACAGTGGTTCCGCTACAGCCTAACAACCAGTCCTGTGGCATTGAGAATATTCATAAGTGTCTTTGTAGCAATCGTATACAGCGATTGGTCTCCCATTGCTGACGAAATGGCACTTTTGCTTAATCTAGCCACACCGGTTGCTGCCAGCATTGAAGCTAGCATTTTTCGTTGTGACTCTTAAGCTGGGCAATCGCAACATAGATGCCGTTTTACACACTTGGCAACGTTCACAGTTGGGCACGTCCTCTAGGGCTATGAGGTGTGCTAAAGAGTGATTGAAAATATCTCCATATTGTTGCCATCAACAGTAAAGCACAATTGGAATACGAGCAAGTTAGGGATAACAAGAAGATATTCTTTCGCATTTGCTTCTACCGGTAAGCTTAATGCTGGCATAAGATTGCGTTCGGCATATATAGTGGGGTGAAAGCAATATTTTGCAACACGTAACGGGCATCTTGGCAGTGCTATTGAGTTATCACTTTCGGAATGTGGGCTGCTCTGTAATTTCTTGTTCGCGTTGAATTCTCCCTTTATTGTAATTGACCAGGGCAAATATTTTCAAAGATCAAAGAGAAGAAAAAACAGCCTACGAAGGCATTGCTAAATAACTATGGCTATTGATGATTGATTGATATGTGGGGTTTAACGTTCCAAAACCACTCTATGATTATGAGAGACGCCGTAGTGGAGGGCTCCGGAAATTTAGACCACCTGGGGTTCTTTAACGTGCACCCAAATCTGAGCACACGGGCCTACAACATTTCCGCCTCCATCGGAAATGCAGCCGCCGCAGCCGGGATTCGAACCCGCGCCCTGCGGGTCAGCAGCCGAGTGCCTTAGCCACTAGACCACCGCGGCGGGGCTAACTATGGCTATGGAAACATTCAAATAAAAAGACAGAAAAACACCAGGCATGCGTGGAACACGCAGAATTCGCAGCGATAGCAACCTTCACAACGCGTCATTCAGTCCGACCAGAAAAAAGGATTCGCGTAGGAACATAGAACGGCGTTTTCGTAAGGCGGAATTGACAACTTCATAAAAAAGCTTGGTTTTAATATCACTTGGACTCACCTTAGTGCATAATGCGGCCATGACGCTCAATTTTGAATCGTGATCTGTGTTACATGGTTTATTCCATGTGCATTCAGAAATAGGCTGGCAAAAACTTAGAGCACTTTGCCAATCGTTTATTTCACAGTTGAACATTTTTATAGACAAGCGAGTGGCCTGAGAGTAGGACAACACATGCGCACCTATGACTCATAATGTAACTAACGTCTAGATGTGCCAGCATGTGCATTCCGACGAACTATATTTATATTGCGCGTCAGCTGTGCGTCAAATCGAAATACTTCATCTTCAATTCGGCACTAAAATTGAACGGTTTGGGACGACTGCAACCTTGACAGAAAGTGACGGTGCTGATCCTAGCTGCACATAACGCTACAGGTGGCATGGCAAAATGGCAGTTGCCGTCGATAGACTGAATAAAAATCCGGCTACTTCGAGGTCCTGGCTTGCACTGAAATATTCTTTTAAGGCCCGCTTTGAATAATTACGGAGGCATAATGGACCTTCTCCTTCTAGTTTTCACTAAAAACCACAAATTGTTGGGTGACCACGTCATGGCCCCTTTTAGTGGTCGTAAGACAGGCTGATAATGATAAAAATTGAAATGAAACTGGCGTGCTGTTTCAGCGACCGTGTGTCGATACACTGCTATGCTAGAGAGAATGAATTGCATGCCCGGCCACGGAGGCCGTCTTTTTTGTTGGAGTGAATAAAACAAACAAAAAAAAGCAATTGAATATCTCAACGTGGGAGTGGCCCACTGCGCGTTGAGTAGCGCCCTTTGAAAACTAACAATAAAGTTTCGCATCCATTCATCCGATAACCACACCTGTACGTAACAGCTTTCAATGGGTGTTAAAAACCTAATGTGGCTAAATTAACTCCCAGTCCTATTCTGCCAACATTCTCTTAAGCATATCTTGGTGATGACATTCTTGCTACATGTTATCATTTTTTTAGAAAGAAACAAAGAGGATGAATTGTATTGACTTGTTTCGAATATATCGGCTAAACAGTGTACTTTTCAAACGCAGAATTTGTATATGACGGACGTAAATGCACAATCAGAAGCACTCATAAGTAACACTTCAGTAAGATGTAGTAGAAAGCTCAGTATGCAAACAGCCTGGCCATTCACAATATGTTTAATTGAATTGAGTGTATTGAAAACAAAGTTGCGAGGATGACCAGCAAAAAAAAAAAAGCTGCATTGAGCAGAACCTGGCCACCTCACACACTGGGCAGCGCTTCACAGCGGTCAAACTGGAGCACACAATGTTCGAGACGTATGCACTAACCAAAAAAAAAAGTGCTGTAATGGGGACAAGTCGCTTTCACAAAACAAGAATCTATTTACGTAAAATGGGAGGAATGCTAATTTTCATACTTCCAAACGAAAGAAATGCATATTTCTTGTTTTCTTCTCCGCAAATACGAATTCAAGTTTAGATAGTTTGCGATTTAAGGGAACAGACCAATAACATAAAGCAACAAATTATGGCACTTCGCTTACGAACAGAAATATTGATTCGAAATTCACCAATATGAACTAGTGAGCGACCAATTCAGCAACAAATTGCCTCACTGGCCAATTTGCCATTGTTGTAACCAAGAGGGGAGAAAGTGTTAATCAAGAGACATTCACTGTAATACCATGGCGGGTCTATTGAAGCCTCCAGTTTATTTTGAACATTTTTCTTGCGTTGACTTCAAGAAATTAGAGCTTTTAGCGGATTCATGTTCAAATAATGCTCCTGTTCGAATGAGTCTGCAGAAACTTTACACATTTTTTTGCGTGTGTTGAGAAATGAAGGCTGGATGGTCGCAAACAGCCTTCGCGCGCTTTGAGAATATCCACATGCTTGAAGTGTGTATACGAAATATCACAGCCTCACATATTTTTCTTGCCTGCCGGATAAGCCCGAAACAGCAGCCATCTATGGCGGCGCCACCTTCGTAGGGTTAGGGGTCTTTGTCTTTGGCCTTTAGGATTAGCAACTTTGGCGTTTGCTAACTTCTGAGGCTATGCCTTGTATCGAAGGGGTCGCCTACTGAATGAGTGCAAAATGCCCGTCATCGATGGCGGCGTCACTTACGTAGGGTGAGTTATATTGAGATATAATTACGTTTACGCTTTTTAAAAACTTTTTCACGTTATTTTTGTTGCATAAAAGCTCTAAAAACGTAAAAACTTATTTGAGGGCAACTTTACTTAAGTGGCGCCACCACCGCAGTTGCGACGACGGCCGCTTCCCAGGTGGCCGCCGATAATTCAGCAGGCAAGAGAAATTTAGGAGGCTGTGGTAATATTTAAGGCGAGAAATGTATACTGCTTACCGAAGGTGTGGCGTAGGCTGTCAGCTGGGCTAAGATGGGATGCAGGAGGTACCACTTCCAAGCGGTAACCACCATGTACTTGGTAGTTTGCCATTCCCAGTTTGCAATGTCCTGTGCAGACGAGTATTACAAAGCATAATTGTTCAGGTTTGACATCCCAACACCGCGATATCATGTGAGAAACGTCGTAGTAAAGAGTAACGAAATTTTGACCACTTTATGGTATTTACCGAGCACCCAAGTGTAAAATACGTGCCCCAAACATTTTCGCCTCCATTGAAAAGGTGTCCACCGCGGCCGGAATACGATCACGCGACCTACGGGTCGGCGGTGGAGTACCATATTTACGAAGCCACCATGGCTGGCGCATGTCCGTGTGAAATACGATTCTTCACCACAATAAGTTTGATTAGTATGAAAACCTATGATCACAACACAATCCTGCTTGCCTGAACTATAGTTGGTTGCACACAAAGAAGTAAACTTTTTCTAACCTCCTTGATTGCACAATGAGAGGGTATTGCGAAATCTTGTTTTATTAGATGCGAAGTAGCTATTTGACTAGCCTGTGTAAAGCTGTCCCTCCATCCGCACCACTCCCTTTGCCACAGGTGTTGGAGTGCTGCCAAGTTGCTCACGCCCTCCTAGCAGTGTGCAGTGACGTCTCTCTCTCTCTCGCCAGCTGGATGGATAGATGGATGAAAGGATATGGCTGTACCCTTTAGATCTGGCGGTGGCTAGCGTCACCAAGCCGTAATACTTAATGAACCAAAAACAAGATTTGCTTTTTTCCCTTAAATAGTGAGGTTGAGGATTCATACATTGCAGTGAAGGGTTTAATTTTAACTCGTGCCATGACTTTAGCAACCAATCAGATAACCTCCTTCTAGTTAATTCTACCCGCTTAAAGTCTATTTTGCCCTCCCTGTCCCTAAACCCCAGTGCTTTGAAAAACTGTGCGCCATGATCCTGAACTATAGGGTGAAGCCCTTTACTGAATATTATCAAGTGTTCGGGAGTTTCTTCTTCCTCTCCACACGCACTTGCATACCATGTCTACCCCTTCGTATTTGGCCCGATATGTCTTGGTTCGCAATACTCCCGTCCTGGCCTCAAACAGTAGAGAATTACCCCGAGTATTATCACAAATCCTTTCTTTGGTAATTTTCTGCTTAAAAGTTCGATAGATCTCTAGTGTGAACTTCTTAGTCATGCCAATTCTCCACATATCGGTCTCAGCTTCCTTCACCTTCTTCTTGACCGATAATTCTTTTTGATTTGGCCCCCTGCTGTTTCCCAAGTATTTACCAGTCAATTATCTGGTTCGCTTCCTTCAATTTGTATCGACATTCTTCTTGTACAAGGTGCTGAATACCTTCCTAGCCCAACAGTTTTTCGTTATATTTTCCACAATACCTGGGGCGCTCTCTGCGTCCCGCCTTGTGGCGATGGCAGGGGCGACTTCTACAGGCCCACGTGGTCAAATGTCGGCGCTCTCAAGCTCTTCTGTGGCGCAAGGCTCATGGTCCAACACCAGCCACGGCTCAAGAGATGCTCCTGCTCTCGTACCCATGGACGAAGATGCGACTGCTGGCCCGTCTGGCTGCAGTTCAACATTCGTAAGCTCCGCAAGGAAACGAGGCTCTTGGTGCAGCTCCAGTGAAGACACAGACATCTACTCAGTCGACGGTGACAACTCATCAGATTGCAGCTTTGTGTCTGTGAGGAGTCGGAAGGCCAAAAGGAGGCTCATCAAGACGTCATCACTAGCAAGCACGTCAACCGTGAAGGCAAGGAGTGAACGCTGGCCACATACCATTCTCTTCATGCCTGTGGATCCTTCCATCAGCCTTCGCAAATTGAACAGGCAAGCTATCGCCACTGTTCTTGAGGGAATAGCACAGAATGAAATCAAAGAGGTCCGGCTAAACACACGTAAGAACGCTTTAGCTGTTGACACAACACAGGCAGACACGCTGGAGAAGCTTCGAATGATGACAGAGTTTGGAGATGTCAAAGTACGAGCGGTCGTACCGATGACTGTGACCTGCACTGCAGGTGTCATTTACGACATCGACTTGGCAATCCTAAACACGAATCTACCCATTCTGATAAACCCGGCGTACGAAGAAGTGCTCATTAAGCATATAAGCCGCCTCGGGAACAGCCGCTGCGTTAAGGTAGTCTTTAAGGGTGACTTAATCCCTACGCACGTCAAGATGGGTCATTTCCAGCATGTGGTACGGCAATTTGTCCCAAAGCCGCTTCAGTGCCACAAGTGTTTCAAGATCGGCCATGTCAAGCGCATCTGTGCGAACTCTACCGTATGCCCCCCATGCGCGGAGTCGCACACGGTAGACACCTGTTGTGCAACAACTTATAGGTGCGGCAATTGTCGAGGTACGCATGAAGCAACGTGCAATTGTACAAGACGCTTTTTCTTGGCTATTTTCGCTACAGTTTGCCTGTAATAACCAATACCTGTAGAACCAGCATTCGGACTCTCGAAAGCATCCAGGCTATGGCTCTGCGAGTTTGTGTGGGGCTACCGCGATGTTCATCAACAGCTGAGACAATCGAGATCGCTAATGACTACCCGCTCAAGACGCATATCATATTGGAAGTGCTCAAAGCACATGTGAGGCATCTTACTCACGCCCCTGCCCATCATCTAGCTTCACTGCCAGAAGACCAACCTCATGCCTCATTTTGCCAGACAGTCTTGTCACATCGCACACGCATTCCTACGGGATATACAACACCATCCAGAATTTCAACTCCCCCATGGAGTATGTCTTATGCACATGTTGAACTCACGGTTCCAGGCATAGGGTCAAAAGCCAGGCTCTCGTCTCCAGCGCTAAAGCAGCTTTCTCTTTTCTTGTTATATGAGAAGTACAGTGAGCATACTCATCTATATACTGACACTTCAACTAAAGTGGATGGGTCTGAAGGGTCGGTGATCTTTCCTGCAATAGCGACAACGGGGAAGTTTCGGTTATCCCACCAGACATCATCGATAGATGCGGAACTTGCTACTCTACGTAGCGCAGTTAAAATCATTAAGCACCAAGAAGCCAAGAAATGGAGCGTGTTCACGGACTCTAAGGCAGCACTACAGTGTTTGATATTCGTCTTACGCCGGGGACCTCATGAACAACTAGTGCTGGAAATTAGAGAGCTGCTTCATCACCTGTTCGGCGAAGAACACAGAATCACGTTTCAGTGGCTTCCAAGTCACTGCGGCATATTGGGCAACGAACATGCCGATGCAGCTGCTCGATCAGCACACGAGGATGGTGAAGAAGAATCTATAACATTTTCAAGGACTGATGCTGCAATGACAATCCGAAAAACCACTAATACAGACTTAAAATCCCTGTGGAACACCGAGTGCTTACAGCACACGCGACTGCATAGACTGGACACGTCTCGTGGACTCTCTGGACTCGAGACAACGGTGCTTTGCCGACAATGGCTTGGTGTCGCCTTGACCAAAGCTTTCGCCTTCCGAATCAGCATGGAAGACAGTGCTGGTTGCGGTCATTGCGGCAGCGATGAAACTATAGAGCACGTTCTCTGTCACTGCCCTCGTTACAGCGTGCAAAGATTGCAACTAGCTGCTGCGTTAGCTCGCCTAGATGACAGACCTTTGTCTGAACAATCAGTGCTTGAAAGGCGATATGATTTGCGTGCTCACAGAAAATCAGTGAAGGCCTTACTGAACTTTTTGCGTGGCAGTGGCCTATTGTATAGACTATAGCACCCCAGCCCCCCCCCCCCTTTTTTTTGCGCGCGTCTATTTCCCTCATCACTTTCTTTCCCATCTTTCTTTCTCATTCCCCCTTCCCCTGTTGCAGGGTAGCAAACCGGATGCTCCATTTTCTGATTAACCTCCCGGCCTTTCCCTCATTTTATTCTCGCTCTCTTCCTAGCCCAACGCTCCTCCCCCATTTCTCTCAATTGCTTCTCAAATTTTATTTTGCTGCTAGCTTCCCTGCTCTCAAATAATGTCCATCCCATATCACCTTATACTCCCGGATTTGGTGTATTTCCGTTAGCTCCCAAGGCAAGCCTACCTATTCCACGTTTCTTAATTTCTAATCTTGCTTGAACTTCTGATCTCATGCACAAGAACGCATTGCTGAACGTCAGACCAGGAACCATGACCCCTTCCCATATTCCTCTCACATCATCATACCTATTATAATTCCACAGTGCTCTGTTTTTTTCATTACCGCTGCATTACTGTTACCTTTAGTCGACACGTATATTTCGTGTTCCCTTAGGTACTCGGCCCCATTGCTTATCCATACGCCCTTATATTTGTATTTATCTATTATCTCTAGCGTGACCTCCTGTATTCTAAGCTCACTACCTTCATTTTCATTAAAAATCATGACTGCTGATTATTCCTTACTGAATCTGAAATCTAACCTATCTCCCTCCTTACCGCAGATGTCCACAAATCCCTGCAAATCTTCCTTGTTGTCGGCCATTAGCACTATATCATCTGCGTACATCAATGCTGGTAGTGCCTGTTCAATGAGTTTTCCTTGTTTGACGAAAGAGAGGCCGAAGCCATGTCCACTTCGCTCTAATTTGGCCTCTAATCCTTGTAGGTACATCATGAATTTATATATTAAGGGTGACAGGGGATACCCATGCCTAAGCCTCCGTTTTACCTCTGCAGGCTTGGATACCTGTTTTTCCCACTTTATAATTACCTTGTTACCTTCATAGATATCCTTTAAAAGATTAGTGACTCCATCTTTGACGCCTAGTGTGTCCAGTATTCCCCACAATTCCTCTTGTACCACGCTATCGTGCGCTCCCTTGATATCCAAAAATGCTAGCCACAGGGGCCTGTGTTCCTTTTCTGCTATTTCGATTCACTGCGCCAGTGAGAACAGATTGTCTTCCAACCTCCTGTGTTTGCGAAACTCATTATGCAGTCCCCCAGCACCCCCTCATCCTCTATCCATGCCTGCAGTCACTCTTTATAATCTGCATCGCCAGCCTGTAGACCACTGATGTTACTGTTATAGGACGGTAGTTAGAGGACGGTTTTTATAGGACGGTGATTGCCACGCGCTTGGTCAGCGTTTCCT